CTGAATTCCATGAAAAGCTGTCTGTTTTTAGACAAAAAAAAAGTCATGAATATCTTATTGATAAACATGCAATAAATCAATGCTCTGAAATTTATATAAATTGGCCAGCATTGAGTTAGAGAATAATGGAGAGAGACCAGATGACAAGATAGGTGAAGTTTTTAATGTCACCTGCTGCTACTGCTCTGGTTTCTGCCACCAATGAGTAGAATAATTTTCCTGTTGAAAGACTGTCAACCATGTTACACAGAAAGATGAATAATTCTTTACTCCTTATGTACTTTTACTCCTTATGTACTTTTATATTCTCCATTTTGTTTTTATTAAACCTGTTGTTAGTTATTAACAGAGTTTGTTGGTTTCAGAAACTAGTTTTCAGCAAAGATAAGAAGTTACCACAACTGCAAGCATTTCAGAGCTGAAATCTCTGCAGAATTACAATGGCCACTGAGTGAAAATCCCTATAGAATCTGGATACCGCTTGTCTTGCTGCTATTGATATGCAATGACCGGGGAAGATCTAAAACACTTCCAAGTGATGATGCCAAGAATATTACATTTTTGGTAGTGCCTAGGACAGGAAACGACAGTGTGACAAAACAAAATAAGAAGCAGTAGAAGTGACAGTGTGCAGGCAGTTGACTTATGGAGAGAAAAAAACAAAGAAACAAAAAAATGAAACAATTTGTAGAAGTCCAAGCTCAACAAGCTAGTGTTATTAAACCCCTACATTTCTGTGAGATGTCATTTATTTGCATTTACAATTTACATATCCAAACAAGTAGAACATACAATGAGTAGGAAGCAATGTAACATTATCAGACATTTCTTGTGAATACTTCAAATACAATTTGTTAACATCATAGCACTACCTAAGTACTTTGCATCTAGTTAGGAAGCACTTTGACACTATCCCCAAATTTAGATAAACAAAATAAGGTTGCATCTCAAAAGTCTGTATCCTTATTGTTTGAAAATACAATTAATATGTAACATTACAATATAACACTTCCACTAACCTTTTGGTAAAAAAAGGTCATAAATGTGATTCATGGAAGTGAAATGAGAACTAAATTTTAATTTTGTTGAAAAAAAAATCAGGCGTAATTAAAGATTTGTTTTTAATATTTTGCAATTTTTTTTCCATCAGGTATAGACATACTAGCAAGCTCTTTTAAAGTAATCACATGTATCCATGTGTATACCCACATATTAAATGTAACTCTTCACTTCCCCAATCAACAAGGTGAAAAAACAATAAACTCAGCTAGTTGCCATTTGATACGCTCTCTCCAGAAAATGTCTCCCAACTGAATTCTCATTTCATGACACTATTTTTGTGTCGAATGAATCTGGAAATAAAGAGTTGTTCTTGTTTTAAACTAATTTTCATTTCATTTCCTGCCTTTGTCCTAAAAGTCAGACAACACAATTGAGATTTATGATCAGATGTAACTAACAATACATCATTATGTTATTATATTTGTTGCCAACTGATCAAGATAAACTGGTACTATCATACCATCATTGTCCTACCAAAATATATCTGCACTGTCTTCAACTAAAGCAACTCAGTATGAGAATGGTTAGTAAGGCTTGTCTGGTTACTGCTGAATAGTAAGTGTGTTCCTTACTGAGTGTGCCAACAATATTTGACATGAAGTAACCCAGTAAAGTTTGCCATATCATAAAATCAACTTAACCTCATTAAAAATCTTCGATAACTCAATCACATTTTATCATCACATTTTTGCTTTTGTCATCATGATTAGTTTATATATATTCTACCTCTCTCTATTTTCCTCTCTCGCTCTTTTTTATAATAAAGCAAGTAAATTTCTTTGAGACTTAAAGTTGAATAGCAAAGCTTTGATCCAAATCATAAAGAGTGGATCTTTGATTTATGGGTTGGAATCTGACTGAAAAATAAATCAAGTTATTGTGGGGAGAATTATAAAATAATTCTAAAATCTCAAGGATGAGCAACAGTTATAAAAGTTTTACAAAGCAATAAAATATCTGAATTATTATTACATTCTGATTTTTTTTTAATTTCATCCCAATCAAGGCATTAATGCCACTAAGATGCAAGGGGTTACTTAGAGTGAAAGAAAATGAGAAAACTTTAGTGAGGAGAAAAGACACTAGAAGAACAGGATTCAGGAAGATAAAAGATGGTGATTAACATTGCATTGTAGATGGCAGAGTAGCAAGAAAACAGAAGTGAGTTCTATAGGCGAGAAGTGTGAGAAAAGAAACTATTAGAATAAAACTTATGTTGCAACTAGCAGTTTCAATAGTAAAACAATGAGACCTACTTGCCAATTTAGTAGTATGCTTAAATTCATGTGGTTGATGTACCAATGAGGAGAGCTCATCAGAACAACTACTATTGAAATATTTATAGAAAAGACACATGGAAGCCATGTCATGACAGTGGGAAAGTGACTGAAGTTGAGATGCCAGGTCTGACTGATAACATTACAGACCCTTCTTTGGATTTTGTCAAGAACCTTGAAATATATAGCAGGAGTATCAGACCAGATATGGTAGTAATATTCGATGCACAGACGAATGATAGATTTATAAATGTGCAAGATGGAAGATTGTTTGGCCTGAAACAGTGAGCCAACTTTTCTAGCAGCAGATCAACAGAATTGCTACACTTTATGTTTTTGTTTCTTCCACTGAACCAGAGTTTATAGATTGCTGGATCTAGTGCTTGAAATCACGCCCCTCAACTGCAACAGTTAACAAATGTTACTTAGCTACTATTTGAAATCCCAAGAGAAAAGCTTTAACTTCTTAGAAAATAATCAGAATATACAACTTTATGAAAGGAAGCCTGACTGCTGCATAAGTTTCAGCTGAACAAGAATAAGACAAACTGTAATTATTATTAATTAAACTGTAATTATTATTATAAATTTTTTTAAAAATGCTTTCTAATAAGTATTTATTACCATTTTTATCAAAATAATGAATTATTTTCTTACATTTAATCTAGGAACCCCCATAAAAAAGCAATACCTAAGGTTTAAAATGAATTTTGAAAAATGAAAAATCTTTCGTGAAACTTTTATTTTAGCTTTGATTTCAAGCTAATAGATTAAATTTAATATTTCCAATTATCAAAATATTTTGCTGTATTTCAAAAAATAATTTAAATTGGCTGGAAGGATTTTTATTTTTGCTAAAATAGCCCATTAGTGCCCTTTTTTAGTTGTCTTTCATTGCAGTGTAATTCTCTTTATTAAAATATTTTCCAAAAATAAAATGTACTTTTCTGAAACTTTATTTGAGGAATATTAGCTTATTTAATAAATATTATTTACTTTAAGTTTAAAATATTGCAGAAATGCTTTTTTTTTAATCCAACAGTAGTTGTGTTTTTAACTGAACAGTAGCTGTTTTGATGTTTAATGTTGTTTTACAGCAACTTTATCTGTAAAACATAATTCAAAAAAATGATGTGAGCACCTTTTTTATATAATTTTTAAGTACTGAGTAATCTTAAAAATTTAAGAAAATATTCTGTAATCTAATGTTTTATTGAATTTTAGAAATGTTGACTTTAAATTTACTATGGTTATTCCTCTTATTTTCTGATAATGTTGTGTATGATCACATGCACTTACAAAAATCAGCATGTTTATACTCATACAAAAGTTTCAAAATTCTTTTTAAAATATTGGTGTTTGATGATTTGTATTAAGTTTTTCCATTTATGATAAGTAAATGAATACTATTCTTGTAAAAATTCATTATTCATTGAAAAAAATTTTCTTAAGACTATAGAGTCTTAACTATCTTATTTATAAAAACAATTAAAAGCTTTTCTAATTAAATAATGTCATAGTTTTACTATTTTTTATTTTATGATTCAGGGCAAATTTTCAGTAAATGTTGTTTCTGCTTGACAAAAACAAACTGATGATTTAAATTCTCCAAGGAGTCGTATTTTAACTAATATAAATATGATAAGGCTGAAATTTTAATTTCATAAAATTAAGTAAGGGGGTCCCATGTTTTCTAAAAATAATTAGAAATTTCAAAAATAATTTTATTCATTTGTGAACATTTCATTAAAATCCAACTTTGATTTTTGCAAGAATTTCCAAAACAATGTGTTATTAACAAAAAAAAAAACAAAACAAAAAAAAAATAAAAATTGCACACACTGATGTAAGAAAAACAAGATTTTTATCCAAAATTTTGAATGTGCTAGAAAGGATTAAAAAATTCAGTAAAATAATCAAAAAATACTTTGGACTTTTCTCTTAATAATAACATAAACATTTTTACGATAAAATATTGTTTTTATCAAGTTTGGGGCCTTTTATCATCGGGCTCTTTTTTAGAATATTTTTGGAGGTAATTTAATCTTTTCTGCATAAACGTTTTTCCTTTTCAGATGAAATCATCATACAGGAAAATATATGTCAAATGGATTCTAGTTTACACCAAAAATAAAGGGAATTTTTAACATGTTTAGATTGTCTATCTTTATAAAAAAAAGTCTGACAATACTCAAAACTTAGTTCAGAAATTTATTTTGCAGTAAATTTTGTAAGGAGATTAACTAAAAGGCAACATGCTTGTATTTTCTTTTCCTGTTTTATTAAAATACTTAATGCTGCTAAAATAAAAAAAATCAAGTTGAATTTCTATCCTTGCTTGGGTCACCTTTGCATACTGTGATTGATTAATGACATTTATATTTTTAATTGTTTTTCTTTTTTTAAATTTTAAATCTGTCCAATAATATCAATTATAAAAAAACTAGGATTATTTGATAAAAAAGTACTCTGAATTTCTCCATAAAACATGACCATAAATTGAAGATTGCAATTTTGTTACAAAGAAAATTTCTTGAGAAATGTGTTTTGGAAACTAAATAAGTTGTTAAAAAAAAATTCTGAAAAGTTTAATAAAATTTATATAAAGAGTAAATATAAGGTGGATGGTGATGATGACAAGTGAAAATGTCAAAAACTCACAGTTGGTAGGCAATGACCCCCATGGCCCAAACATCACATTGTTGACTGTAAGTTTTATTTTCTACAACCTCTGGAGCTGAAAAGAAATATAAACATTAAAAGATCAAGAAATATTTTCAAAAAGGTTATTTTATCCATTTGCTAGTTTCAAAACATTCACCTTGATGATGTAACACTATTTGGGTTGCTGGTAATTAATAAAGGCTTGGAATATCAACAAGATATTGATGAATAGACTACCATGATTCCCAGAGAATTGAGGTTTAAAAAATGAAACAGGTGACCAGCTGAGAGCAATACTTGGTTTGTATGATGGGCCAAGTGTTGACAGTATTCAACAGACAATGCCTGTGAAATCAACATGAGGAGAATTGGATTAAATGCCAGTTACAAATAAAATCTTTTTTGCAGAGATGTCAGGATTGAAAACAATAAGCTGAATACCTGCAATATATTGACCTTCAGCCGAACGAATTGTGACTATAATGTGAGTTACAAAATTTTCCCTGAGAAAGTGTCTCTTGGGTCAAAGGCGAGAAAGCCAATTGTTTGTGCCAATTCACTTATGAGGTGAAAGCAGTTTGAACAATAATTTTTTTTAATTAGTCTTCGACCAAATGGTGGAGGTGATGGGCACAGAAGAGCAATCAAAGAAGGAGGAGGAGCTGCCTGTACCCACTGAAGGGTAGCAGGCACTGACAAGCCATTAAGGAGGTTGAAGGAGCTTCCCACGCCAACTGGAGAGCACTGGTTGGAGATGGTACATTTTTCATAAAATTTTTTGGGAGCAATGCCATTTCCCATGAGAGAAGGGGAATTCCCCAAAATTATGAAGTAATTTAATTTAAATTTAATTTAAAAAACAATGGAGATGACAGGTGAATGAAGTACCAATTCTCCCAACTACATCTCACACCTACACCAGTTTTTGTTGATAGACAACAATGGATTCTTGTTGGAAATCAGGGGATTCACCAAAACCCAAACTACATCTTGCCCCACACCGGTTTCAAGGTGGAGTCCATAAATACGAATGTGCGAAGTGAATTTAGACAGTTGGGTTTTGAGAGTTGAGAAGAGACAGAAGGGAAGTGGTGGAGGTCGCTGAAAGATTTCACGGCTCCTGTCAATCATGAGAACCTCTAACATCAGCCTTGAGTCAAAATTACCAAATCAGTAAAACAAATTTCACTAACTCCACAAGCCAAAACTTACCAGCTTACTCAATATGACAATTATACAAAAGAATCTGGGTGATATCAAATGACAAAAAGAAAAAAAAAAATTTAATTTTAATGAAGATTCTTACACATTCAAAGCCTCTATACAAAAGCAAAATACAACACAAAGTAAAGAGGAATGCATATTAAGATTAACAAAAATATAAAAGAAAAAATTTAAAAGATAACTTACACAAAAATTATTTAATTGAGGTTTTGTTGATTTTGTCACAATTAAGAAGAAAATTTTAAAAATAGAAAAAAAATTTGTCAATTTCTTATGTAACAATAAAATATCAGAAGATAGAATACTTAAAATGATGAGATTTTAAAATTTCTAATTTATATAAAATCAAAAGAAATAATATTTGAATGTTAACTTTATTTGAATAAAAACAAAGTAGAATGATATGACATAAACATGGCAACAAACTTTGTTGATTACAATGTTGGAAATTTTGTTAATGCAATATGAAATGTAACATTAAATAATTGTATTATTTACCCATATAAATGAGAGTTCCACAAAATGAATTTAACATGTTCTCATGGCCAACTCCTCCTTTAATGACAGAAAGACCAAAATCTGTGACCTAATTAAGGTAAAAAAAAAAAATATTATTAATATTTTTTTTTAACAAAAAAGTTTTTATCTACACTACACTGATTTTTTTCTTTAATATTATTAATATTTTTTTTTAAATGTAAACATAGAAATTTGGAAAAGTGTTCTATAGGAAAGCATCTGAACAACTGCATAAATTATAGAAATTCTGATTGGCTAATAACTTAGCTTTTAGCAAAAGTGAGAAAACATTTTAATGACTTTGATTAAATAAGAATTAAATTTGTAAACAGTAAAATGTTTTTACATGAGAAACTAAATACTGACCTTAATGAATAAATGGTCTTTGTCATCTATTGGGTTATCACTCAAAAGAATATTTGACAATTTCAGGTCTCGATGCACAATGTCTGCGGGAAAAAAGAGAGTGATATTAAAAAAAATTGATTCCTTCCAATTTCTGATCAAAATTTGCACAATAATAAATTAAATTAAAACTTATTTTACCATTAAATTGTCTTTTTTAAATATATTCTCAAATTCTTTCTCTTTACAGTATGTTTGGTTTTATTAGTCAAGTCAATGTTTTCGCAATCAAAGTGGTATTAAAGCAACTGATGTCAGTAACATTTTCAGGATATATTTATAAAATAAATATACCATGTGAATTTCAGCTGATCTGTTTTTATTAAAAATATTTACAATAAATTTTATGGTGCAACTGAAGGGTTTTACATCATATGGTAAATAAATAAATAGTATACTTATTGATATTTATTTTTTAACTTGAATAAGTAAGGGAATTTCTTTTAAGCTGTGTGTTGTGAACTGTTGCAGTATGTATCTCCTTACTGGCTTGTCTGGTGTAGAAATTTGGCTTATATACTCTTCAAAGTGATCACAAAGCATGTTTTTTATTGTAGGCAGGAATGTGACCCATTGGTTGAAAAATATTAATTATTTATTTTCAAAGGATTAATTTATTAACTGGAATGATATGCAAATCTGATGACTCAGAAACCATTTTTTTGTCATTTGGTGTTTGACTCTCTTGCTGTTTATTTCTGTCTTCGCCCCACAAATACCAAAATATTGACTTTCATCATAAAATCTGACATAGTGTTTATCACTTTTTCTACAGAGGACATTTTTTTTAATTCTGCCTTGACAAGTTGAATAAGAATTTGTATGATTGCCAGTGTTTATTTCACAAAGGCTTTTATTTCTTTGTTCCATAATGCCACCAGTTGCTAAAGAGAAACTATAAGAAACATAAAGAAAGCAGCAATTCTTTTAAATTTGCTGTCAAGAAGAAATAGAATTTGGAGAATCAAATTAGAATCTTATGAAATGTTAAACTTAGAAATTGAGCTGAGATGTTTTTTTATTACTCTTTCTGAAGAAGTCAAGATGACAGATGTTATACCACCAATTATCATTTTTCTAACAGGAAAAATAAGCAAACATTGAGAAAATGTCTTACCAGATTTATGAAGGTATGCTATTGCACTGGCCAATGAAGACATAATCTTCTTGGTTTCTACTTCACTGAATTTCTTAACTTTCAATAATTCAGCAGCCAATTCTCCTCCTCCACAATACTCCATTATAAGAAAGACTTTCTGAAATGAAAACAATTACGCAATAAAAATTGATGCAAAAATGTGGATATTTTTCCTTTTTGCTATGAAGACAAGTCTAAGGCTATTTCTTTCAATAAACTCATGAAATATACTTGGATAAACAAAAAAGTTCTTATCTACACTACACTGATTTTTTTCTTTAAATTTATCAATTACATTTACTGGATATTTGATGTTTCCATTTCAGAATCAATTTATGTGATTAGTGTTAACAAGGACAAAGAAGCACCAGAATAAAAGATTCTGTTTTCTTTCAGAAACATCTTGCAGTTTTTTTTTAAACAATAAGCTGTTTTATTTGCACTTCCAAATCAACAAGGAAACATGAAAAATGACTGAGCTTAGTTTTTTTTTTTGATTCTTTCATGACACCAAACAAGCTTCACAAAAGCTATTTACAACCTAAACAAGAAAAAAAACTTGCATTTTACACTTCTTGCTTGTACATCATTTTTAGACAAAGGAATTAAGTAATTTTTTCTCAATTCTTTCAAATCAGAATTGTGCTTTTTTTTCAAGATTTGTTAATCTTATTTCTTGTTGTACAGATTTGAAGTCCTTTTTAAGCATTTTCCTTTGAAAACAAAGTATTTTATATATATTTTCATTTTTTAACTAGATATTTTAGTTATGGACACAAAAAGTGGCAAAAACTCAGTATTAAAATGCACTATATTCTTGAGAAAATGCATTCTCCATAAAGGTTTTTATTTAAATGGTACACATGATACAATATTTTACAAAATAAAATTATCTTTCTATAATCTTTAAATTTTTTGTTTTTGTTTTTTGCAAACAGTTCATTTTGATGACATCACCATAGAGAACAGTATCTTTTAAAGCTTCTGATGAGACCAAAAATAAAAGCTCCTGATAACACTATAAATAAAGGCACTAAGTAAAAACTTCAGATGCTGCTATAAATAAGGATTATTTTTTCATTGTAATATTTCAATTTTTAATTGAAACACTGATTATTTTTTTAATTTATAAAGATGAAAATTCAAAGACCTGTTTGTTTTCTCTGTTACTACTGATTTGCAATGTTCCAATAGAAACATGGTGGCTTTCTTGAAGCATCCATAAATAGTTTTCCTGCTGGACATTGGTGTGGTAATCCTGGATCAAAGGCATGTGTGAATTGAACCTTCATTTTTCTCTCATGTATTAAATCATTTTAATAAAAATATTCTATATTTTTTGACTTATGAGAAAAATGCATTGAAAAAATCCTCTCAAAAAATTTTGTTTGTATAAATGTTGAACCAATTTTACAAACTTGTATTCAGAAAACTGTAGTTGAAGAGTTATAGAAATAGCAAAAATAAAAACAAATCAACAGGTTAAAAACCACAAACCTGTAAGTTGTAGGTCATAAAACTGTTGTCCACATACTGTGGTGAACCAGAGAACCACCAGTCCTGTCATTCAAGACACTCTGCTTATATGTAAGTGAGACAGTCAGTGATTGGTCGAGGTGGCACAGAAGTTTGCATGATATTCTCTATAAAAAGCAGGAAGTCATCATGCGAGCATTCCTTCTTTGACAGCAGATAACACATGCTACACACTGTCGCTTGTTTTGATGAGGTGAGTTGCCACTTTATTCCCACAAAAACATTTAGATGTTTTAAAATTTTTGATTTGCAAAATATTTATAATTTTCATAATTGTTTAAAATTCAAGCTTAAATGCAAATCAGATTTGAAATGTAAAAAACTTTCTCCAACTCCTTTTATAAATAACAGCTTATTTTTATTTTGTTAGAGTATTAACCAATGGGGTAAGTAAAAAACAAAAAAAAAATTTGTGTGCCAACAATAAATTCAATCACAAATCAGTGTTCAAAAAGTCCAAAAGGTAAAGCAGTCGTAAACAATCCAGCAAGCAAATCAATATAGAAAACGGGGTCAAAAATCCAACTTTTCAGTCACAACAGAGGGAACACTCTTTCGCTCACTAAGCTCAAAATTGTTCTCCCCTCATTAATCAAAGCAACTACCTTTATTCACAGAGCGATTTTTCTGATTGGCCATAGCAGTCAGGGAGAAAGAACATTAGCATAGTTCTTCTGATACTTAAAGTGGCAAGTTTTTGCTAACAATTTTACTTTGGCAGACCATACACAAAATATGAACTCTTTTTTTTCAGGTAGATTTTCTCTTTTCATTATACTCCCCTCTGTCACAGAGGTGACACATGGGAGCTGGCCTCTTTAATCTTGAGCTTCTCTGAGTGGGATGATTACTGGAGGGGATTGAATGGTATGTTCAGCAAGCTCATCTCCTGAGGAGTCCTCTGGTTTAACAACACAGAGTCTTCACCATTTGAAGTGGTACAGGCCCTACCTGTAACTATCCTTTTACTTCCTGAACACTCACTGCTTGTTGAAGTGTCTGAACCTACACAGGGGTGCAAGTTTTTTATGTGTCTTGGCATTTCATCAAGCAGCATAGTGCTCAAGCTGCTGATTCCAATGATATGCCCTACCCAGTACCAAATTGTACACTGGCTGTCTGGGGTTTTTACTCACACACAGTCACTCAGATTGTATGCCATTCATTCTTTTACTCATTTGGTTGAGTGTGTCATGTTAATACCTCTTAGCTGGACTTTGTACCTGTAAATCATGTTGGCTGGCACAGTTGTGGGTCAGCTTTAGGGGTGACGGTGTGCCAATATACTGCTTCCATTATAGAACACTGCTTCTTGGAAGCAATTCTCTTGATGCTGCGATGTCATCGCTTGATTATGCCATTTCCTGATGGGATATATGTGCAGCAAAATTGGAGGTTCATTCCCTACAAATCACCTGGAGCTTCTCTGGTGGGTGATTTTCTGACCATTTCCACACTGCTGCCCATGCCTTTGTGCTCTGGTCAAACTCTGCACTAAAGTTGGGCCCATCTATTCTCAAGACAGCACAGATAGGTGGACTAGAAAACTAGACTTTGCCCAACTCTGTGATGCATACTCTGCCCAGGTTATGGAGCAGGTCAAATTTGAATAACCAAAACACTGACAGTGACGGGGTCACCATTGTTGGCACTGAGTCTTATGCTTCTGTCTCTTCAGCTCCTGAAAGCCTTTCCATTGGCCATTTTCATGTCGACTTTTTGTCTGTTCCACTGCCAACAGATTGATCTGTTCGTGAGTGACCGAGAGCAGCTCAAATCTACTAAAGCAGTATGTGTTATCACATTGATGTGTACCTTGATCACAGGTAATGCCTCTTTCATACTCTGTGCAGAGATGAAACCAGCACTGAAGTTTTATCCCCCATAGTATTTCCCAGACACATAGAGGCAATGTGGCTTAATTTCTGACATTTAAAACATCATAGATTGGGTGTGCCTTTCACACGAAACTACCTGCACATCTCTTTGCATTGATAGCAGCAGTCCTTGGCAAAATGATTTGGCCCAGAGCACCAATAGCAGTTGACATCACCATGGCAATGAATGGCTGGGTTTGGATCATCTTTGACTTCAATTGATTGAATGACTGTGGCAACAGGATCCTCAACCTCCTTGCTGAAATGACTTGTTAGAGTATTAACCAATGGGGTCATAAAAAAAAAAATTTCTGTGCTAACAATAAGTTCAATCACAAATCAGTGTTCAAAAAGTCCAAAAGGCAAAGCAGCCATAAACAGTTCAGCAGGCAAATTAATACTGAAAATGAGGTCAAAAATCCAAACTTCCATGCGCAACAGAGGAAACGTGCTTTCGCTTACCAAGCTCAAAAATTGTTCTCTCCTCGTTAATCAAAGCAATTTATTCACATTTTCTGATTGGCCACACCAGTCAGGGAGAAAAGAATATTAGCATAGTTCTTCTGAACATGAACTCTTTTTCAAGATAGGTGATTTTCTCTTTTGTAGTTTTTTGAGATATCAGTCTTTCTTCTTTATGAAAAGTTACTTTTTAATGAGATCAGTATATTTTTATTTTCAGTATGGTAATTTTTCCAAATGATGATCATCAGTGGATTCCTGTGGCTCCAACTGAGATATTTAGATTTGCCCAGATGAAATCTCTTTCATTGCTAGGTTATAAAAAAACCTTTAAAATATTGGAAAAGTTTAACCTATGTATATAGGTTAAACTTTTCTTTTTCTTTTTCTCAAGAAAATAGTGTGTCAAAAGGATACCACCATTATTTTATACTCTCTTCACTCCCTCAACAATGTGTTTTCTTTAAAAAAAAAAAACACAATTTAATAAAACCCAAAATGAATTCATACATTTTTTTTGTTCTTGAGTATGTACAACAAAATATTAAATACTACTTATTTATTGTTTACTTGCAAGAATATTCTAAAATTGCAAACCAACTAATACAATGCAATGTTTATCATTTACTAATTTATAAAGAAATAAATATGAAAACAATTTTTTATTCATAAATTTATAAAAATATTAGAACCAACTATAATGAAATCTTTATTTACTATTTTATAAAGTTTGAATTGATTGGCAATTAGCTGATGTTTTGCCAACCATTCCAAAAAACACAATTCACCAGCTTTGTCAAGGTGTTCACTCTTCATTTAAGATTTATTTATCAGTCAGCACTTAGCAGACAATGAATAATCTATGGGCCAATTTTCTAAGCATTTTTAGAAAAATTATCAACAATTTTAATTTTTTTTAAAAATGAATTTTTATAAAAAGTAGTTGAAAGTTGGGGGGTGTAACCTTTAATTGTTGGGGTTTCAGGCCTACTGATCCTGATCACGATTATAAAAAAAAAAATTGAAAATTATAACACAGTAATCAGAGATATAAAATAATTTAAGAAGAAAATGTATATTGTTTGGAAATATATGTTTATTTAAATTTCATTGTTCTATAATTCAAAAATATTTTTACAAAATTATGAATAAAAAACTTGTTTTTATAGGTATTTATATATAAAATGGTAAATAATAAATATTGCATTTAAATAATAAATATTGCATATTTCAAAAATTTTGTAGATTTTTATAAATTTTTGCAGAAAAAGATTTCTTTTCCAATTTATTTCTTCATAAAATGATAAATAATAAATCTTTATAAAATGGTAAAAAATAAATATATTATACTTGGTTCACATATTTTTATAATCTTGTAAATAAACATTGTCTAGTCTTGGTAGTATAGAGCAATAGTAGTGTCTACAGAAAAACTGTCCTTTTGGAATATTGTTTATTTTTCTGGCACAAAGGTTAAACTTTGGCAAGATATCAATGTTCAATCTAGGTACAGTTTATCTATATTACAGAAATAATTTGCCATTTGGTATAACTAAATGAATGCAATTGATAGCAAAAGAGCCTTACCTTTCTGTCTTGAAGATCAGAATGTATTATCATTTCTCATTTTATTTTATACAAATTTTTAAAGTTCTGATATATAAGGTAAATTTAAAGTAAATATAAAAGCTGTTAAAACATTTTAGTGTGACACTTTGTATAAAAAATATTTTTGTGGCTTGATTGACACAAAATTGATATTTTTGTGGTTAAATTGACAGCTCAGAAAAATGAGGTTCAAAAACTTTTTCAAAAGAATGAAACAGAAATTCTTGTATAAGTAAGGTTAGTTAGACCACAAAGAATTGATTTTATTTCTTTTTCTCTAACTTTGTTTTTAGAATTTTAAAGAATGCATTATTTTAAATATAACTCATTTACTTTTTCACTTGTGCCTAACTTTAGAATGACTATAAAATATAATTCTTTAGATATCATCAGCAATTTTATGGAACTATTTCTTTGGAAATAAACTGGATTTGAAAGAATTAAGTGTACAAATCAAAGTGCTTTGGTTGATTCTTCATATCAAGGATTTGTACAGTTAATTCGTTAATACTCTGACAAGCTATTTTGGCAAGGAGGCCAAGGAGCCTGATACCAATTGAAGTCAAAGATGATCCAACCCCAGTCATCCGATAAGATTAGTTGTTTAATGCTACTAGTACTATATCAATAATGACAGTAAGTAGTAGTAGTAGTAGTAGTAATAATAATAATAAAAAGGTGGGAACTGATAAAGTTTACATAATGGTAGGAAGCACATTACTCATCTCCAGGTAAATCCATAAAGTTAAAAAAGAAGTTAAAACTGCATGAAATTCTTGAACTTATTCAATAACCTAAATCTTAATTCATTAGAACTATAGCCTGTTTAGAATGGTGAATAAACATGGAATAGTAAATATGGTTATAGATTTGGATTACAAACTTTAAACATTGTTGAATTTTTAAAAATAGCCAGTGTAGATGTTATAAGAAAAATTTAAAACCTCTTTTTATCACTCATGAGACAATTTTATATGCAATATTTTAGAGAAAAAGAAATTTAAAGAATGATTGTAATAAAACATAATTTTATGTCAGTCATTTTTTACAGCAGGAAAATGATGGTGTTGAAAATCAGCATTGTGATTAAGAATGTTTAGAAGTGTTAAATTGGTCAATAAAAATGTAAAATTGAGTATTTTAAAGACACTATCTCACATCATGTGTTTCAAAGACTTCCTTCAGTTGGATGATGTTTTCATGTTGAACTCTCTTCAGTATTGCGACTTCCCGTTCCAATAACTTTATAGCTAAAGACTGTGAAAGACAAAATTAAAATCTGATTAATGTACTGAAAACTGTAACAATGGATTTCTAAAAGTAAAGCAGAAATTCATTTGTTTAACATTGTTTTTTTAAAAACATTTAGAGCTTGATTAATTATGTAAATATTGCAAGAATATCTTTTATGTTTCACTCAGCATAAAATCAAAAAATGGTTTTGAAAATTTCCACCAGGATTTATAGATTATATTTTAATTTCCTTCATTTGTGAAGACAAAGATTTATCAGTATTCCAATAAAATAATTATAAAATAAAAATTATATTTTATAATGATAATTATCAACTGTAAAATGATGTGAGAATTTACTCTAGTTGCAATCAAAGGTGTTGATATATTTCATTATTATACAACTTGATCAATGACGGATAATAATTCATAAATTTTCTAAAATTATAAGTGTTTGAAAATCTTTTCCCATATAATATTATGATAGGTATAATTTTTTTTTTTAATAAAAACCATAATATTAAAAGTGTATGAGAAAAAATAATTAAAATGTTAGAATTGTGGAAAAATAAATATAGAAATTATTTTAATAAAAAAGATAATATAAAAAGTGTATGAAAAACTAAATAAGAAAAGTAGAATGTTACTAACATGATTTCTTTGAAAAAGAAACCACCAAAATCAAGTTAGTTTATAAAAAAAAAACATCAAAATGAAACCAGACAGTATAAACATTTTGTGGCAAAATTTTACAGATGGGCTTGGCTTTGATGTTGTCAAAACCAAACAACTTTAAATTGCAAATGGGCGCAGTTTAATTGGATAGTGATTCTCAAGTTTTTAACCAATGGATATGATTTTTGATTCACCTGTTGACTATATAAGAGGGGAAATATTGACTGCAAAATAAGAAAGGATTGTCCATCTCAGATATGTAAACACTACTGCTGAGAAGGATAGAGCACACCTGGCCAAGAGAGCAGTGATCTGGGAAGAAAGGATTCACACCCTCAAGCAAAAAAGACTATCATTGAAGAGAATAGATTGACTGTCTCAGGCATATAAAGTCTACTTCTACTACTACTACTATAAATGTTACTGTTGCTGTGAAAAAGATTCAACCACTAGAGCAAGAAAGTAGTGACCTAGGATGATAAAACCTGCTGCTGCTACTAATACTGCTGCTGTTGAGGAAGAAAAATCTTCTAAATATGATAAATTCTCACAGGTTTAGAAACCTGTGAGAATTTATCTCATGTGAGAACATCTGTTCCAAAGACCAAAATATTTTGTCTAATATTTTTTGTGATCCTTAGTAAATTTTGCAGATTTCACTTTTTGTCTTTTCTGTTAGCACTGTTAAAAGTACTTGTAAAAGGAAAGAAAAAAAAGTTGAAATCCTTCCATTCTCTTGAAATTCTTCCCCCTTTCTTTTAATTTGCTTTTTTTTTATAGGATGGACATGGTCTTTGGTGATTTTACACTTCTGTCATTTTCTGAATCTGCTGTGTTATTGACCTAAGAATAAAAACATTGATTAATGTAATTAGCATAATCTATGTCTCTCTTCTTCTGGGCACACACACTGGATACTAAAACTTTAGAATAAAAATTTACAACTAGCCATTTATATAACAAATTTCCAGATTATAACCTTAATATACAACAGTCAGTCAAAATGTAATGTCTGCTTATTTTAATTTTTTTTAAACTATAAAATATCTAGAAAGTAAAGTGAAAATTTGTAGAGTTATCATTCCGATAATCCTCTTTCAAAATAGCTGCACCTCTGAACACACAGAGAAAGTAAATAACTCTTACATAATGTCTGTTTTTGGAAGGAAAATATACTGCAAACCTTTACAGGCAGTGAATTTGTGAACCACAGTAAGGAGATGAAGTTGACGAAAATCCTAGAGAGAAAGGAATTGTAGTGGCAGATCAGCTACTGCTGTAAATGAAGATATGGTCAAACAGGCTGATAGCCTCATCACAGCTGACAAAAGAATCACTAGTGTGAAACATTGTGAACGCCTTCAAGTGAGCCATGGCTTAATGCAGTCTCTTGGTTACTTAAACGTATGTGCAAAGTATGTTTACAGAATACTGAGACTCCAAGAACAAGCGAAGGTTCATTGACTGGGCACTCCCAGTCTTTCATCTGTTTGAGCCCATGAAAGAGACAGAAGACAGCAGATCTCCAATGTTGATGAAGTAAAATTAGTAAGAGGCAGATGGCTAAGAAAACATCCAACAAGCTTTTATGAGGCAGATGTACATGCTCTCATTCAAAGAAGAAATAAGAAAGAACACTATGTAAATTTGGAATCCTGAGACTTTTGTGTTCATTTTGGAATGTTACTGGCATTTCCATTATGAAATTTATTGTAATTCAAAAAGAAAAGGCATTAATTTTTGACTGACCTAATAAATAATGGATGGACTTTTTAAGCAACTTCAATTATTTAAAAGAGGAAACTAAGCATGAAATTGAAAATAGTTGTACATTTAACCACAATTTGCAACAACATTTATTATTTTTGTCTTATGAAATCAGTCTCTGAGTTTTTGTTATAATTTCATACTAATTTAGATCAAATAATAATTACCAACATGTGCAAAACTATTTACAACTTACAGGTTTAGTGAGTTGTTTTAAAAACTCATTGATTCTCTAGAAACTGCACTGAACTTTTTCAAAGATGGTGGATGTTATGATGTTAATTTGGGGTTAATAAAGACAAACGCCAAATAACATGTAACAATAAAATGGGGTTTATTCGGTTGGTAAGTTGGTACAGATATCGCCTGAGTAGTCTATAACTAACTCAGCCAAAAAAAACTTCTACTACTACTGTCTTTTTACATGCCACTCGTTAACGTTCTTGTTCGTAGACGAGTTCATCTTTTAGAAGGCTGGTAGGTTCCTACACAACACCTCCCCCTTGAGATTAATTCCGGAGGAATTAATATTTTTTTTCTTTTGGGATCTGGACTTAAACGTTCCACCCTCGTTCTTTTTCTTTTGCTTGTCCTTCTTCGAACAACTGTTTCAGGCAATGGTGGAGTCGGTATATCAAATAAATCATATAATACCTCCATTGGTTCTTCCTTTTCTTCACTTAAACTTGCAAAAATGTCTTCTGGTGAAAGGCAAAGGATTATGTGTGGTCTTTTAAGCAATCCTTTAGACCCGTAGAAAAATCGGCACACATCCGAATTTTATTATTTTTTTTCTTAACAAATACAACAGGGCAGGCCCACTCTGAAAATTCAATGCGTGAAATAACTCCAAAATTTTCAAGCCGTTCCAATTCCTTGTCAGTCTGTTCCAAAACACCAAATGGCACATTCTTTTTTCCTGAAAATAGGTTTTACATTTTCCTTCACTTCAAATTTTGCCTTCGCCTTTTTTGCAACATCCAAGACCTTCTGAAAATACTTGTGAAATTTTAGTTTCAGATCTTTCACAAAATTTTCTGTAACCCGATTTTTACACCGAGAAGAAACATTAACTCTATTGCAAAAAAGAATTTATAGGAGTTCCCATAAAATTAAACAGTATAATCCAATCTGTTCCAAACAAATTTGAAGCATTTTTTTCACATACACTTTTTAGACTTTAGTGTTTTACCAACAAATGAAATATTACAAGAAAATTCACCTTGAAAATGCAATTTTCTTCCAGAAATCCAGCGAGCCACTTTTTCAGTCTTTTTTTTAAAAAGGTCTGCCTATTTTAATCCATGTTGCTGTATTAATAATGGAAATATCACTTCCAGTATCTAGCTGTAGTTTAACATTTTTTCCATTAATTTTTTACTTGTACGAATTTTCTTTTCTGTCCTCCTCAATCTCCTGACGTGACAACACAATATTCACAATATCTTTTTTCGACTTAATTTTTTTTTTTTGCTTTTACAATGAGTACTTATATGGCCTTTATTGCCACACGTATAGCAATTTTTATCGCGAAAAAAACATTCACTTTTAAAATGACCACCACCGCATCAAAAGCACGTTGGTTTTTAACGTTTTTCTTAACTATTCCCGTTTTGGTCGAATAGCATTGACACGGGATACGTCTTTTCTTCAATTTGCGTATTGTCATGTTTTAAATTTTCAATTCTTTGACACTCTTCCGTAACCTTCTGCAAAGTAATCTCGAATTTTGTTCGAGTTTTGCCAATATTCGGGACCTTATGTCCTTTATCTTTGCTAAAGTCAAGCCTTGAACGAATATCAAACATTTAAATCGATCAATTGAAAGATCATGTAACATAAAATGTTCACACATTCTGTTAACATTTCCAGCATACGTAACAATATCCTCATCGTCACGCTTTTTACCATATTCAAACACGAAAAACGAGTATGAAACAAACTAACACGCTCACCAAAAATACTAGATAAAGTATTAACAGTTTCTTGAAAAGAAATGTCACTAGTTTTTTCTTGGAAGGACAAAATTCGTATACTTATTATTTTTCATCTGTACCCAACTTTTGTAAAAGTAAACTCACTTTTTGTTCATCAGTCCAACCTTCACATTTTTTTTCAAATATTGTTTCAAATCTTCTGAAATTCGCAGGAAATGTTATACCCTCCTCTGGGTTAAATTTGAACTCAGTAATAGAATTAGCAATACCTTCGGCCGTGAATGACGAATTTGCTGGATTCTTTATTAAAATTGCTTCAAATAAAGCCTTTGTGTCATTTCGCTACTGAACTTGTAAATCCAATAGTTGTTCCCGAAACAATTTTTGTTGTTCTTGTTGCAATCTTTGTTGTTCTTGTTGCTGAATTTGGTTTTGCACTAGAGTTTTCGTTAATGCAATCAAATCTTCCATTATGCGTAATAGATTACACAAAACACTTTTCGAAAACAGTCAAAAAGGGGAAAAACACGTATATATCCAACAATAAGCACAAGTCTTACTTCTTTCTGGCAACAATAAGCACAAGTTTTACTTCTTTCTTTTCCTATTTCTTCTTGAAGAACAAAGTCCGACGTATTTTTTTTTTCTTTCTTTCAGTGCGAGAAAAAAAAAATTATATAGTCCACCTAGAGTTGAAAAATTCTCCACTCAGCGTGATGAATGAATCTCTCGTCGCCACTGTTATGATGTTAATTTGGGGTTAATAAAGACAAACGCCAAATAACATGTAACAATAAAATGGGGTTTATTCGGTTGGTAAGTTGGTACAGATATCGCCTGAGTAGTCTATAACTAACTCAGCCAAAAAAAACTTCTACTACTACTGTCTTTTTACATGCCACTCGTTAACGTCCTTGTTCGTAGACGAGTTCATCTTTTAGAGGGGTGGTAGGTTCCTACACAACAGTGGACTGGGCAAATTTTATGCTAAAATGAAATTGAATAAGTATTTCAATTGTCTTGTACATAAATTGTCAGATAAAATTTTATATTTCTTTTCTTCCACTGTTAGAGTTTTTGTCCAAACTCTTAATATCACACACTCACATTCAATGGAAATGAATTGTGAATGAGCATTTTAAAACTCATTTTCAAAATGATGAGTAGAAAAAATAATAAGATTGTTTATTATTTTTGTTAATTATTTTTTTGGAAGTCCTAGAAATCATAAAAATGCAGACTAAGCCCAATTTGGCCCCTCTTTTTCCACTTTTCCCTTTCAGTGGCTGCTATCCTCAAGGCCCAGCTCGATGGACTACTGCAGAAGACACGTGACCTGTCCTGGAAGCTTCTTGTTCCTCATGGGAACAAGCAGAGAAATCTCCTTTCCAGACATCTATCTGAAGGACTACTCACAACCCTTGCTGCAGAAGACACCAGCCCTATCAGTTTGACACTCAGATTTCTCGTTCCTCATGGGAACAAGCAGGGAAATCTCTTTCTATAAAACTCTAGGGAAGAGCTTTGATAACTGGGAAATCCAACTCTTTTTCCTGCAAAATGCTATCATTTTGTACTATCTCTTTCAACCACAGTTAAACAGTTATTTTGAGCCTTGGGTTTTGTTCATTCCACCCGAACTGACAAGCATACACACTCACACACACAACTAGGAAAAATTCCTACATTAAAGTAATGATGAACTCAACTGAAACAGGATGTTGATCCCTATTCAAAATGTTTGATATTTTTAGTTTCATATTAATTTGGTTAATGTGGCTTAGTGCTTGAAAGAAAAAACTCACATTAAATAAGTCAAAGTACCAATATCTGAAACTTTTTATATTTTATAAAGGTTCACCTTTGTTAAATCTAAAGAGTAACCTGAGTTCACATAGAAGAAATGTTTAAATGAGAATTTGTAGCCTCATCATCTGGCCTAATGCATCAGAGAAAATGACTTCAACTAGTTCAGAAGATAGCATTAATAATTATCTTACCTTTTCTATTTTGTGGATGCATTTCATTGCCCATTTGATTCCTGTTGATTTTTCTGTCACTGAAAACACTTTTCCAAAACTGCCTTGTCCAATCTTCTCACCAACCTCATATATATTTTCAATTTGACTCTGAGAGCTTATCCGAGTGTGAGGAATTAACTCAGACTTTTCAAAGTTAGTCTTATAGGAGCCAATCATTGTAGATCTTTGAACATAACTGAAATAAAAAGAAACAAAAAATGTTGTATTTGAAGGATTTGAAAGAAGAAAAAACAAAAAAAAATCAAAACTCTGCTCAGTTCCAAAATTTGTACATTGAGTGAAGAGCAATGAATTGTTCAATCTTGTGTGGCACAAGGCATCCTTTGGAAAATGCATTTAAACTTTGTTAATTATTTCAAATGTAAATTTTCTTTCTATTCAAAGGGTAAGTAAACTGATTTGTTTCCTGAAAAAAACTATCTCTGCAGTAGAAAGTTTAGCACAGAAGGTCAGTTCTCAATTCTGTGACTAATATTTCTTTCTATCCACCTTAATATGGCATTATATGAATATTATTTACAAATTTATGGCAAAATGGAAGACATAAAAATTTTAAAAAGATGAAATCTTGATTCTCGTGTTTCTCATTGACAACCTTTCAACATCCTACTCCCAACCCCGAAAAAGAAGTCATTAAATGAGACTTCTTATTAAAAGGTACATTTTATGAGCATCCCAATTTAGAACATAAAAGCGATTGTAAAGTGAATTGGAAAAAAAATCATATCCTCAGCATAGATTTGAAAAGCAAAAATATGTAAATCATTTCTCTAAAAAGTAAAAAAAAAAACAAAAACCAAGAAAAAAACCAAAAAACAATCTAGTTTCCAATAAGTACCAGATTAGTTATTGCATCTTCTTGGTAGTGATTTTTTATATACTGACTTCTTATGTCATGTCAATATGTATTATTGTTGGAAACAATATTTTCACACTTCAACTATCTATAATTATTAAAAATATTGCTGATAACCTTTCTGAAGTGGTGGTGTCAGTGTTACGAAGTTGATATACACACAATGGTAGTAGTCATCACTTGTCCTTCCTTAAGTCTATCTCAAGTTCTACTTATATAATGGTATGGTTATGCTAATTAGTATTAGCCAACCAATCCCACTACACCTCCCGGAAACTTTTAGGTTTAATTCCCTGAGCTGACTTATTCCTTCTCCTACATACCCTCCCCTTTTCACTGGTTTCAAGAGGATTTCTCATTATAGGACATCTTGACCTACTTCTTTGTTCTTCAATATCCACTGTTCCATTTTCTGATTGCTCAGAAAACCCTTGAGCACTCATTGTCTCTTCTGATCTTGTTCTTCTCTATCCTCATTTAACTCTTCAGTATCTTCAGTCTCTGAGTTTTCATGGTTTTGGCACAATCTTTGTTGGTCAGCATGCGCCAATAGACCTCTACCATTCTTGGAAACCAACGCTGTATTCTGTCACTTCTGCATTACAAATGTTAGTTTTTCTGGCCCCTCTTCTCTATTTCTCTTGTACCACATCTTCTCATTCGTTCAGTATGACATTGTTAATGGTGCTCTGATCCATTAACGCGGATGGACTTTGTAAATATGATGGTGTAACATTATTTTTTAGCTTAATGCTTGCTTTATAATTTTTTAATGTTCCTGTTTCAAAACTTCTAACATTGACTGCATTCAGCAATTGTGTACTATCAACACTCACTAAGTCAGTACCTATTAGGCCAGGACTTTTTATACAATCCATTATGATGGTGATTGTTTCAAATCTCTTTGCTGTATCAAATGTCCCTTGAACCTAATGTCCCTTGAACCTAACGTTTTGATTCAGGTTTCATCCTGCTGTATAAATTCAATACACGCTTCCAAATTCATATTATTGGATTGCAATCTCTCCAAAGCTTTAAATCTTTGCGTAGTATCCTATTATCCTTCCACCAGTTGAAGCTGAATCAATTCCTCCTCTGTCGTCATTCTTTTTCATCCTTTTCATTAAAGTCACAATACCTAATAGTATCTCTTAGTCTACTAAGATATTTCCAATAGGTTCTCTAGACTCTTGTCTTAACGGTAGAAATTTGGTCATTTCAGCAATGACTAATCTTTTTTTTGGTTGGCTATATTTTAAAATTATGTCCTTAATGTCTTTAAAGTTTAAAGTTTCAATCTCCTCCGGGGACATCATTAAGAATACTTGCTTAATGGCTTTACATCCCACAGTGGCAATAAATAAATCTGCTTCTTGTTTCTGCTAATTTCTTTATTCTGGTCATTGCCTCAAAACACTTTAACCAGATAACAACCTCCTCAGTGTTTTTCAAAACCAACATAGTTTCGTTCGGTGACGCCATTTGTTATGAAGTTGATATACACACAACGGTAGTAGTTGTCATTTGTCCTTCCTTAAGTCTATCTCAAGTTCTGCTTAAATAGTGGTATGGTTATGCTAATTAGTATTAACCAACCAATACCACTACAGTCAGGTTTTATTAAAGTAAACAAATTAAGTTCAATATAGATCTTTGCTTTTAAATCTACTAAAAAAGATAAGTCACATTAACAATGTCAGCATTGACTTGCATAATAAAATCTAACATTGTGTGAAGTGAATTATTGCTACATCATAAAACACAGGATGGACAGTGTCTGACGTAGAAGCCCTGCTGGCTACAGCTCTGTCCTGTCTCTCCGGTGGTTCTGGCCAAAAAGTAAACCACCTGTTCCTCCCCTGGTGAACTGAAGGGACTACCACTATCTGCCACGTTGTGAATTTTTGATCCAAACAGCAGTATTTCGATCCCTCAGAACGATCCGGAGGTAGGATGAATTAAATGGTTGGGCTCCACACTGAAAGAATTCACTATTTGTGCAGAGAGGCTCTTGTTGTAACCGCGAGGGAACAAAGAAAGAAAAAATATAAGCAACACTTTCGGTTCCTGTACAAAGAGCCCTTTAAGGCTACTGTTTTTATATCACTACCAACGAAATTGCACGAATACAAACTGTCTTAACGAGATTCACTCGTTTGGGTTGGAACGTCACAGAGAGAGAAAGACACAATTATGCCAGTCGAAATTCGGCTGTATTAAGGGAGATAAATCATGGTTCTTCATCCACCCCCTCCAATATAGCAGTCAGCTTTTCTCAGCTTTGTTGATGAAGTTATCAGGATTTCGCACGGGTTCGATTTCTATCTCTGGGTATGATTCGGACTTTTTGACGCATGTGACCAACTGGCCAGATCAGCAAGACCCACTAAGTCGTTTCCGCCGTGTTTTCCTTTGTGTTCTCTGATCTGTGATCTCTCTCGCTCTCTCTGCCATGTCTGCCGCTTCTCTCGCATTTTGACGTGTTCTCTGATCCTATCCGATCTGATCTCCAACCTCATCTGCCCAACTCAAGCATGCAGGCCGCTTATATAGAGAGAGGCGGAGCTAAACAGTTTTTAGGCACCGTGTAGCTTTCGAATGTGCAAATGTATGTGAAAACCTAAGACGTAGAAATCAAAACAAATCTCAGCACACAGAGATCATATCATCACCTATTATTGTGCTAGATTCACCTTTAATAAGAAGCAATTATTTCATATTCACTCTAATTACAATTAACGACATTAACAGATAAAAAAAGTAGTAAACAATATTTCAGTCATGGTAGTCTGATAGTTTTAATAAAGCCTGAATTTTACTTGGCAAAAAACTGTGATTAGATTGCATCACTATATTTAATTTTATTTTTTAATCAATGAGACTTCCACTTTGGCTTATTATTCCATAGTCAAGTGTTTTATTATTCAAGTCGCTGTCTACCCTCAGGAGAACTGTGTGTCCGGTAAACGGTAGTCAAGCCAAATTTCTTGTTGCACAAACTCAAACATAGCTACAGAATTTCAAAACCAACCAGGTTATATGTTCATTTATTTATTTTGTTTTTATTGTTCAGTTCTGTTACAAAAGTTGAACTTTTCAAAATCCATTGAACATGTTAAAATTATACAAAAAAACTTAAAAATGAAAGTTTTTAAGTAATTGCCAGAAAAAAATATATTAATTGGTACTACTATAAAAAACACTTTTTTAAGGACATCATTTTAATTTTGTAGTGTAGCAGTCAGATGTATTCGTTAATGAAATGGTGATAGAATTACCAACTTAAATACACCGGATTTTTGAAAACTTTCCTCATGGACACATGGCACAGTGGATAAAGGCAATAGTTAGATTTAGTGACAGGACCCAAAGAGTGTGAGTTCAATACCCGGTTAAGGTGGTGAGAACATTGAGAGAGGAATTAACAAGAGATAACTGATAACTGACATCCATTAGACATGGCACGTGGAACTAGAAGTCTACCCCAGTGAGCGAAATAAAGGGTTCAGTTTGACATTCCAACCACCTGAAGAAGGCCGGAGTGTACAACGGCCGAAACGTTGTGATAATTATGGTGACAAAGATGAAGACAATAGTCTGAATAATGTAAATAGTGTACATAATACCTCATCTCAGAAATATAGACAGATACTTTCAGTTATGAATGCAATATTTCTTCATACATTCACAAATACATTCGAACTAATCAAGCAATTAAAATCACCATAATCATCATCATCATCATTATTATTACTTAATGATAATCATTAATGATGATAATAATAATAATGAAGCAATCACAGCACTCAGATTTTTGGACCAATACAAAGTCACTTTAACAATCTGAAAGAAACATTCATAGGACTGGAATCATCCAGATGAGATAAGATTATGATGCAAAAAAATTATCGGTAGCATTTTGGTTGGCTGTCATCTGGAATCCACGCACCTCAGATTTGCAAATAATAATAATGTTTCTTATTCTTACACTCAACAGTTTTAATGACTCCATCTAGAGAGGGAATTTTCTTAAAATTCATTCAAATACATTTTTATGCCAAGATTCGTTCTCAGCCGAAATAGTCATTAAAGTTCTAAGTAACTGAACCAGGCACGTTCAGCTACGAAA